GGCGATCGGATGGTGTAGATATCGTTTGGAGGCGGAGGCCTGGACCGACTCTGAAGGGGAGGGGGAGGCTGTGGACGGCGAGGATCGCTTTGGAGGGCAGAAGGCTAAGGAGAGACTACAGGCAGGGCTTGGCGACTCAGTGGGAAGTTCAGTGGGAAATAATTTCGCTTTCCTCAGCTGAGGTCAGGCGTTTCCTAGAAATTTACACATGAATTCGTATAGAAGTGAACAGAAGGCAATGAAAACCTCCGAGAATTTCCTTGCAATTTTATTTTGCCACTAACAAATGTAGTTGACCATGTGCATGTTTTCCCACAACGGTGGAGTTGGAGAGACAAAATAGTGACAGACCCTGGAAGAATCGTTTACGGGACTGGTGGCTGGTCTGAAGAGGCTTGACAACATCAGACACAGTGCAGGAGGAGGGGGAGGGAGGAAGTCTGTCGAGGATTCGGAGAGATTAAAGCAAGCCACTGAGGGATACTGCGTAGGTGTCTCCACTCCCAGGGTTAGGGGCCTGCCCTGATGAAGGGCGGTCGGTTATTGGTGCTGATCTGCTAGGTCCAGACTAAGGCATTGCTCCGTAGGAGTATTGCTGCTACTGATGTAGTAGTAGCTGATATGATCCGAGCCAAGAAGGATGCTGGTCGTCATAAGGCCAAGAGCGAGCAGCTCGAGCGGACGGTATGGTTGCTGTAGGCCAGCCGCCGTAGGGGTAGTGTGCAGGTCTACAAGCTAGACGCTATGCTCAAGCAGAGCCACACTCGCCATTACAGACAGCCTCAAACTAAGGTGCTTCTCAAGGGGTGGATCCTCAGACAGAAACGTAGTGAGCTCTTCTCGTGTTCCTAGGGACGGAGCTTCCCAGATACAGTCTCCTCTGCTGTTGTTCGCTGCTGGTCCGTGTTCACGCGCCAAGCTATCACCAAGAGGGTCGTGGCCGAGGCGAGGATAAGGTAGAGCTGTGATGCTAGTGAGGTCCACTGAAGTGGGAGTCTGGGTAGGAGGAACCGACGCTTGGCGAGGGGCCGGGCAGCGTTGCAGGCTTGGAGGGGGCACGCTGGTCAAGTACCAGAGAAGGTCAGGAAGGCCCAGCTGCGATGGGGATTCAAGTCCCATTCAGATGCCCCATGTCGAGGCGCCCAGCACTACCCAGGTTGCGCTTGAGGAGGAGATAGTGCTGCTGAAGGCGACTAGGGACCAGCTGGAAGCGGATAAAGTGGGAGAGGTGGGGTTTGGCCTATGCTAGGGCTGCATACTCAGGCGGGACTGCGAGTTGAATGCGAACGTACATCGAAAGCCCTTCGGGACCGGGATGATAGGCTGAGGGAGATGCAGGAGGCGGGCATTGGTATCATAGCATGGAGTTATCGTTTATATACCTCTTTAGGCGATTCCGCTATCGCGTCTGAGCTGACAGCTGAGAAGGCGCGAACAGCGGCGTTACAGGCTCGGCTGGAGGAGGCCGTTGCCAGAGTGGCCCAGTTCCAGTCTATGCTCGAGAGGAACGAGGTAGCATTAGAATGGGACATTGCTACTCATTTCATCACCGCTACAGGGTCGGGCCGGAACGACGGAAGAGCTCAGCTCGGGGGAGGGCGAGGTTAGTTCTGGGTGGGACCTACCCGCTGTAGATCATCATTTCTGCAGCTCCCTGACGGCACTTTTGAGGCGGCAGAGCTACGCGCTAGGGTCGAGGAGCTGGAGCTCAAGCTGAGTACTTCTGTGAAGACACCGTACTTCCTCCCAGTTGGTTTTTGATAGGGGAAGCTGAAGATGGATACCTCGAAAGGGATGCTGCCGGGAGAGCAGGCGGGGACATGACGGAAGTGAGGCACAGTCGGGCTCATGTGGGGGGATGGTGGCTTGTAGGGGCCTCCCGTGCAGGAAGAGATGATGCGGTTGCAGTTGACCGAGCTGGAGGAGGAGCGGGATCGATATCTTCGCATGAATGAGGTATCGAGGGCTGAGCCCCTGTATGAGAAAAGGATGGGAACATCCCGTAACGCTACCTCCTGCATGGATCCTTGGCCTCAGAGCTTGATTGCTGAGAAGGCAGTGGTGGATGAGGAGCTTGAGAGGGTTCGAGCAGAGATGAGGGGTCTGGTGGAGACCAACGAGGTCTGGTGGAGAGTAACTACTACTAGAGCTGTGACGGGTTTCTTAGGAGCTCCGCAAGGCCGCTGAGGGATTGCAGGCTAGGGAAACCAAGCTGACCGAGGAGCTCGTCTCGAAGAATGAGGCGGAGGTGAGGTTTACGATGGGCTTCACTTGAGCTGCGGCAATTCGGCCTGTGTTGGATTGTCTTGGCCTCCGATCACTTTAGGTACAGCAGACGAAGTTAGTGGAAACGCTAGAGAAAGAAACGGCTAAGCTCCGAAAAGAACTGGAAGTCGCTGAGGAGGAGGGCAAGGTGAGAGGCTCGATGGGTTTTGACGATGGCACGAGCCCTCATCTCTGGGCGGAGAACGCCTTGCCATAGTGGAGAGCTTCCACATTTCAGATGCGTGCAGAGGCTCTAAAAAGTGAGAGGGATGGGCTGGTGGCGAGAGTAAAAGGTTTGGAAGTCCAGCTTAAGGGTGAGGGGGCTTTTGAAAAGGCCATGTTGAGCAGATGCGATTATCCTTAGGGTATGCAGCGGAGGAGGAGTCCAATCGTCTGGAGGTGAAGAGAGTGGTGGAAGAGACTGACAAGTTGAAGGCGTTACTGGAGGAGGCTCGGATGGAAATCACCCGGCATGTAGGTTGGAGTCTCCTCTATATTGGAACTGGATGCAGGAAAAGGAAGCCAGCGAGAGCTCGGAGTGTATGGCTGAAATAGCGAAGGAAAAGCAGAGACTTGGAAGTGAAAAAGTGATGGTACGTGGCGATGGTTATAACGGAGAGCTTGGCTCCTTAGGCGGCACTTGAGAAGGAGGTTGAGGAGATGAGAGGTCGTTTGGAGGAGGCGGAGGAACAACTTGAAAAAGCCCAGGAGGTCGTGGAACGCGCTAAGGAGGAAAGTGATGGCATGGTGGAGTCGATGCGAACCAAGCTTGAGGAGGTAGGAATTTGTGCAGGGTTGGATGGTGGACAGGTCTTGGTAGGAACATGCCCGAGTGGCCGAAGGCATGGCAGAAGCCCATCGTGAGAAGGTTGCTGCTATGTCTGCTACTATAGATACACTACAAGCTAAGGTGGTTAATTCCCGAAGTGTGTGGTTATTGAATTGAGCAGATACGAGACGTAGAAGTTGCAGAGGACGCCCGAGGGAGGGCTGACAAGAGAGAAAGTAATTTCATGGGTGGTCGTGTAGACGGATGTCGTTGTTGCTTGGAAATGAATGTAACGCGTGGTTTGGGTTAGGTGAACTTGAGAGGGAAGCGGAGGAGCTCAGGAGGAACTTTAGTGACCGCGAGGGGGAGTTGGAGGAGAAGATTGCGGAGATGTCTGCCCGGCTGGAGGCGGTACAGGAAGAGCTAGAGATGAGAGGCACTGCCTTAGTGATATTTTCTGCCGTCCGTAAAATTTGCTGATTGTAATATGTTTATAGTCCACTGCAGAGGAAAGGTTAGAAGAACATATAGGTCTGCTTGGTGAGGCGAGGCAGGAGCTGTCCATGGCGAAGACTGAGCAGGTGAGGGATGCTCATTCACGAGAATCATGATCGTTGGTGCATACAGACTACGATGGAAGACTGTGCACGGAAGACATCCGAGGATCTACAACAGGTGAGGCGAGGTGGGGGGTCTGGCCCTGTACAAATGAAAGTCTACTGATGGACTACGCTAGGAGTGCTTTATAGCGTCGTTGCTTCGGCCATGTTGTATTGAACCATGGGGGGTCACTGGGATCTGGCAATCGAAGGCTTTCTCAGTCACTGGTTCGGATGGAGGAGGCTGAGAGGAAGGTGTTGGAGCTCGAGACGATTTTGAAGCGGATTGAAATTGAGAAGGTAGGCTTCTCACCGACCGGTATTTATGCGAGGTTTCAAGGCTCAATTGTTGCAAGAAAATACAACTATGGGAGAACGCATTGAGGCGTTTGAGGGAACTGCGACTGATGGAGAGGCTTTGACCTCGCAGCTCAGTGAGTCCAGCAGAATACTGAATGGGATCGAATGATCGTTGTGGTAGATGATGCAAAAGGTGAGCTGGAAAATCTCCAGACTGAAAATCATGAGCTGGTGGAGAGAGTGAAGGAGTTGGAAACGGTGAAGTCGACCTTGGCTGATGTGAGGCTGTGGAGGGTCGAGCCCTCTGCTGTTTTGGTTTTGGGCGAGTACCTCGGGCTTAGGATATGTGGAAGCAGGAGGTATGCGTGAAGGAAGCTGAGACGGGCAGACAGGCCGCCGAGGTCGCCACACGTAACGAATGGTACCTATGGAGGAGACAAGGGCCTGTGGGTGCTCAGGCAAGGCCGAACAGGAGTTGGTTATTTTGAAGGCTCAACTGGAGCAGATGGCGACGAGAGTGGAAGAAGGAACGGCCGCACTAGAGAGCTCTAAGGTGGGCCGGGATATTCTGGCAAGTAACACAGCTTTACTCAGGAGAAATGCGATGAGCTGGAGAGGTCTTTGAAGGAGACCGTAACGTCTGACGAAAATCGGGAATCAGAGCTGTCCCAGGTCAGCCGGTTCAGCCTTAGTCAATGTGCCTCTCGACCCCGCCGGAGAGTCTTGACTTGTTTTTAGGAATGCACACGCCTCACTGAAGCCATGGCCGAGATGGAAGGCAAGATGGCGGAGGCGACCACGCTTGCAGGTGGGATCTTTTACAACCTACTTCATCTAGTGCGATAGCGCTCAGAGGCAAGGTTGGGCGAAATTACAAGCCTGCAGGAGACGGTTGACAAATTGCATACAGACGTACAACGTAAAGAAGATGAAAAGGAAGTAGCCATTTTGTCCTCTATGGTGCGGGTGGACTGAGCTGGTTCATCTCAGGATCTTGAGAGGAGCACTAACGACTTACGATTTGCAATGGAGGAGAAGGAACTGGCTCTAGAGACCCTGCGAGATGCGATGAGTACCGATGCAATCGACCGCAGTAGTGGCAATGACGAGCGTTCGTCGTTAGGTAAGCTGGAAGCTGAGCAGAAGGCATGGACTATCAGCCAGGAGGAGCGACGTGCCCAGCTAGACGAAGCCCGAGGGGAGATAGAGGCTCTCAGGGTGACTCGTTGGTGGACTCGGTTGAAAGTTGTAAGGCTCTGCTTCAGAACCAAACTGAAATTGATGGATCTCTTCGTGAAGAAGTCGCGGAGCTGCACAGCGAAGCAAGGGCTGTACAGGAACTCATTGGTTAGGAAGAAGTTTCTCTCGACGGCTCTTCATTACTTGTGATTTCAGCCAGTCTGAAGCAACAGCTCGAGGCAGCTCAGGATGAGATCTCTAGGCTCAATACAGAGCTGGAGGAGACGAAGGCCTCAGTAGAGGCGAGAGTAGAGGAAGCACGGGTGAGCCGAAGCTAGCGGTGCTGAATAGAAGATCGGCTTTGAGAGTAGACGTCCTCTGAGGAGCAGGGAGAAAAGTATCTGGCCACCATTCGAGAACTTGAAGCGGTAGGGTACCCCAGGTGTGTTGCCTAGTAGGAGAGATGGCCTCAGGAGAAGCGCGAGGTCGAGGATGTGGCCAAGCAGAGGGAGGCGGAGATTTCGAGGCTCGAAGAGCTTCTGAAGGCAGCTGAGCGGACCTCTGGTGGAGACTCTCATTGCTAGTCGTTTGGAAGCACGTGTCACAGGGGATCTCAACAGCTCATTGGAGAGTCTGCAGACCCGGTTGGCTGAGGCGGATGAACGGGAGAAAGCGAATTATGCCAGGCTGGTCGGTCTGGTTGACGCTCGACGTGCTGCAGTTATATGTCGTTCATTCAGGAAGCGTCGAAGCAGGAATGTGAAGGCCTTCAGCGAACTATAGCAGAATTGGAAGCTTCAAAGTTGGCCGAGGAAGCTGGTCGTCGTGGCGGTGAAGTCGAGGGAAAAGGAGAAGTGATAGCAGCAGAAGTCAGCCCTCCGTCAGTCGTTCTATTAGCAATTGAGAGTGTTGGAGGAGCTGCTGGCGGAGAGGGAGCGCGAATTGGAGGAGCGAGAGGCCGCCTTGGTTGCGGTCGAGGTAGAATGCCCGTGTACGGCGTTGAGAGTATATCGAGTCCGTAGATGGAGGGAAACACTATGGAGGAAGTAGACAAGATTGATGGCGGAAATGACCCTGAGTGAGTTTATAAGGGCGTCCTATTTCCCATTGACTGGTTCGCGCTATGACGAAACTCTCTTTCAGAGGAGGGGGTGAGTCGGAGCTGGATATCCAACTACGTGTTGCCGAGACCGAGCATAAGCTGCTGATGAAGCTAGAGGAGACCGAGAAGGTAGGCGGCAAGGGTACTCGCTGCTCGAGCCGTGAATTTGGTGCACAGTACCCTGCAGGATCTAGCCGAGGAAAAGACGGCCAGTTCGGCGCTGACCAATCGAATACATGAGCTGGAAGCGAGAGAGACAGAGCTTGTACGCCAACTGGAGGAACAGAAAGTAAGCACCGGGATAGGTTTACCCTAGTCGCGTTGCAGGTCTCTCGCGCGGAGTTCGAAAAACGGGCGGCTGAAGTGGATCAGCTTGTCGGGGAGCGTCAGGTGCTACTACGTTCATACTAGGCGAGCGGAGTGCTTAATCTCGTCAACCTAGGCGCTGGTGGCGAGGATAGAGGACATAGAGGCCACGGCAGGTCCGGCTGCGGCCCAGGGAGTAATTGGCTCACCTACTCAGATGGTGAACCTTCTTCTTCCTCATCGTCTACTGATAGGGATGATGTGGAGTATATGATTTGAATTTGCGCTTTCCTCGTTATCGAGGTTTCAATGCTCATCCGACTCATTTCAGTCGATAGTACAGAGAAGTGAGCAGTCGCTGGTAGCTGGGCGTGGTGACTCAGACTTGTCAAGGTGAGTAGAGCTGGCTTACGAACCTAGGCAGCCTGTATGCGACTGTAGTTTCCGGTAGAGATACCATCGGAATCAGCTCGCTACTGTTAGTCTCACCAACTAGTAGTTGAGAAATCTGACAGTCTCACCGGTGTTTTGAAGCATGCTAGATTTCGATGATGATGTGACTCATATGAGTCTGACTTGGCAGGATTTGATGGTCATGGGAAGAAGTTGTGATCAGGTCTCGAGTTACTCCTGGTACCCTGGCCTTCTATCCCAACAATCTCTCGTCGTATCTTACCCTATCACTAGACGGTATGAGAGTTGAGTATGACTGTGATACTGCAGCTAAGGACGAGGCCATGTGCGGTGTTGTCATGACTGATCGGCCTCTGCCTTATGATACCTCCTTTGGGTAAACAGGGACTTCAGCGTAAGCAATCTGGTCATATCAGTTCTCTGCGAGGTATTACTTCGAAGTCACCATTGAAGCAGGCGCTGTAGAGTCGTCGAGGTATTCAGATGGTCTCACAGTTGGCGTGACGACGACACGACCTGAGGAGGTGAGCAGTAGAGCTCTGCTATCATCGATGGGATAAGAATTGCTCGAGGTACGCGGTGGATCCAATGCACCATCATCTTGTGATGAGATTCCTGATACGTGGGCAGTTGGATTCGACGGCCAAGTGTGGGATCCGGTAGGACCAAGGGGCGATCTTTCACTTTATGAACTTTTAGATACTCAACGACTGGGCTACTTGTGATTGGAGTGGCAAGGATCTCAGAGCAGGTGAGAGAGAGGAAAACTAAAGTCGCGAAGCAGCGGACCTGCTTGGCGTTGCCGTTGGGATATGAGTTCCGGGAATATGCGGGCACGTCTGAATTTGCTATCATAGCTGTGCTATGCTCGTGCGCCGCATCAGTTGAGCAAGACAACATTCTCTGAATATGTCTCTCGCCACCTCTGATGGGTGAGTGATCGACATAGGCTGTGGCCAAATTCGGGAGGTTCACACACGAATGCAATGGTTTAAAAGGGTTATGAGGAGCGTATTATTTTCATGTGGTGAGGTCGTGGCTCGACCGTTCAGGTCAGAAGGTCGGTCTCCTAGTCTCGAAGTCTCCAGTGGACCAACTTTTCATCCTCGTTGATGGTGCCGTAGTGGCTGATGGCCCACGGAACATCCCTACTGGAAAGCCTCTCTATGGTGTTGTGGATCTCATAGGTGAACTAATGACATATGCTTCTACGATCCGTCATTTGAACGAATCTCTTATATAGGGAGTACGAGCGCTGTGCTTCTCTCCGATCCTGAGACGACCCCACTGCCTCCAGCAGCGCTTGACCTAGTCCCTAAGGTTAGTGTCATCAATCCCTGAAGGGCGCTGGAATGATAGTTGGTTTCTTCCTGTTAGACTGTACCATTTGCAGGGCGGTCAGAGAGTGGCCGCACTGCCTTTAGACTCCCTTCTCGCCAAACAAGGTGGAGTGCCATGCCTCCTGATTGCTTCTCCATTCGTTTGGATGGGTCCACCTCAGGTATCGGAACGAGAGTAAGAGAGGTGCGCCGGCATCGGTGGCAGGAGGATCGGTTGCTGGTGACAGAGTAGCATTCGAAGTATGGAAGGAATGGTATGAACTTGCCTGCTGATACCACTGTCAGATGCCTTCCTTCCACGAAAGCAAGAGCTTCCTGGCTCCATCGGTGTCGAGTGTTGGGTCCAAGTTCGCATTACCCAGTCGCAAAACAGCTTCTAAACTCCACACGTCTTCGGCTCATAGTAAGGCCAACTGACACTATTCAGAGGGAAGAGTCATGTGTACTCAGGCTCGGCCGGATCCACCTCGTCCAGGCTGGCGTTTCCCAAGTTCAGCCGCCGGTGATGAGCATTGATCTCATGAATGCATGAGTTAATCGATTGTATTCTAGGCTCGATACTGACTTTCTAACATACAGTATCGTGTTTGTGTTCCCAGCGCACGAGTCTGTCGTGTATTTGCGACAGTCAGGTAGCAGCGTGAACCACGACAGACGAGGAAATTGTGGGTCGCGCGAATCATAGTCTCGTATGTTGGAGGAGTGTCTTTCAACACCAAAGAGTCAGACTGGGCGCAAATATGGAAGAGTTGGTGCGAGCGAATTAGATTTATCAGAGAAAGCTGTTGGCTAGAGTCGTTCCTACTACAGCGATCAGCGTTAAAATATGTAGTCGCTTCCCTTAGCTGGGCGTGAAGTTCGCTGTGTCAACCTGCGACTTCCGAAGGGAAATGTCTCCACCATTTGTAAGTAGGATTCCCACGTTGAAGGGCTCATGATGTAGCACTGTTAGTAGTAACACCCGCACTGGTTGACTCAACAACACTTGGGATAGCCATAATAGGTAATAAGGCTTCTTATCTTATCTATTTCAGCCTGAGGGCTGCGAGCCGTTTCATGCAACGAATAATGGGCGAGCGAGATTCGTGCACACGCGCGCGAACACGTCCTCCCCAGATAGTTACTAATTTAATGATAGTTGTGCAAATATCGAAAGTGTTATACTGTTATGAAAGATGGGGTATCATTGAATACATACCGAGGTAGCACTTCATCATTTAGCTTCTTGAGCTTATCAGTAGAGCGCCATACACCATCATCTAGCAAAGCACGGTTGCCTTCTATCTCAACAATAACTCTCCTTCTTGGAATCCAGGGTGTGGAGGCCTTCGGGTGAGGTTCCGTAGTGTGTACAAGTACACTATCACCAACTTGTAGTGGAGGTCCAGTAGCAGTCTTGTTGGCCATCGCTTTGAGAGTACGTTCACGACAGTCATGCTTATATTTTCTCCAAATAGTCCATTTGTCATCTGGAAGCTTACATCTTTCGCTGGTGTCGAAAGGAGAAATACCCGAACCATCAATAACCATGTCTAGCGGTGAGAGTCCATGTGCAAGTAGATTGGAGCTAGAGTTGATCTCATAAGCCGCACGAGAGACAGCTTCAAACCAAGTTTTCTCGTCAACAAAAGCAGTTGTCAAGAAAGAACGTCGCAGTCGTTGGTTGAGTAGTCGATGACGAGCTTCAACATGTCCATTTAACCATGATGCAGAGACAGGTACATAATCGAATTGAACAGAGGGCATAGATTTTGAAGCTGACTTGATGATACTAGCGTTGTCAGTCGAAATTCTCTGTAGTGGGTAATGATAGAGCCGATGGGGTAGGTTGGCTGCTCGTTGTATATCGATGGCCGTCGGCGCACTAATAGTAGGGTAACATAAGAGTAGATTAGTGAGCTGACAGACCAAATTGATGGAGTAGAATTTACCGGTCGAACCATTGGTTGTTGTAGTCGTAACGTAAGGACCAAGTACATCCAAACTGGCTACTTGAAATGGTCGATCAGGGATGACTATATCGTTGGAGGTGGGGTTCTTGGGTTGTCTATCGCCAGGGTCGGTCTTGACGAGAGCACAAGTGATGCAGCTTCTTGAGGCCTTTTTAGCTGCTTCATCGAAGTCGATAGTGGTTGACTTCGGATCGAAATAGCACTTGAGAATAGCAGTGATCTCAGGAGCACCAGTATGCTTGAGAGAATGACAGAACTCAGCACACTTATACAGAAAATCGCCGTCAGCCAGTTGACGTCTACCATCTTCACTTAGGGGTAGAGATCTATAGGTATCCTTGATATCCATAGAATGAGCAGTAGCAGATGACCTGTACTTGTTGATAATGCGAGGTATCTTGGATTGGCAGTCCTTGATTGGGAACTTCTTGCTGGCCTTTTTGAGCAAGTCATTAGTCCTTATTGTAGGCTGTATAGGTCTAACCCGCTTGCGACCAGTACGTGGATACCAATTTGTAGTGTAGTTGTTGATATCACCAATACCAGTAAGTTGTAGTTTGCCTTCATTGATCAGGGCGTCGATGCGCTGTTCTGCTTGTTGACGCTCGTCAGTACTAGCTTTGATGAGGAAATAGTGAGTAGAAGGGACCGGTTTCGGCTGATTGTCTAGAGCTAGCCGCAGTAGTTGGTCACTGTAGTCAACGAAATACTCTTTGTTACCATCCTTATTAGAAAGGATACCAATAGTACACCATTCGTTGTTGTAGATGGTCTCGAGTAGTTGGTAGCCTTCGGGTGGTTTAGGAAATGTAGGTGGTGTGTCGCCTAGTGAATCGACGTCGTAGGAGATAGCGTCGTCCGAGTTTTCTTTAGAGGCCTTGCCTTTGAGAGCGGCGATATGATGGCCTTCGATAGAGTCATCTGATGATGCCGTTGATGAAGTAGGCGTAGATAGATCAGATTTAGTGGAGGTCGTGCAGTCGAATGTTGACCGGATAGGACCTTGAGTAGGAGCGGCTGTTGGGCAAATATATAGCTCTGACAATGATGAACCGATTGGGCTCGTAGTGGATGTCGGAGACGTGATGCCTGATGACCGATATTTATCCAATGAATGGGAGCTACAAAGAAATTTTGAAGCTTGAACCAATGAACCATTGATGTTGATGAGGAGACCGTCGGCATTGATGGAAAGAGTATCCATACCGAGGAGTCCATCAGAGTGAAGTAGTAGTCCGTCGTTGATGATAGACGGTGACCATGTGAATGTTGAGACTTGACGGTTTCCATCGCAGATGGGAAACTTGATCTTGAGTTGGTAGAGTGAACTCATAGATCGAGTTGTAGTTGCAGTATCAAAAGAGAGCTTACAAGGAATGAGTTGGCCGTCAGGATAGTGCTGTAGTAAGGCCGTCGCAAGTCGCCAAGATATAATAGATCTTGTACAGCCAGTGTCAGCAACGATGAAGAAGTTGTTGTCGGCACAGAAAGTAGACCTTAAGACCATGTCAGAACCAGGAGGGAGGTGATAGTCATCTTTTTGGTGTTGTAGTAAACGGGCTACGTCACTATGCTTGTACTTGCAATTATCGGCATAGCGGCACTGCCTGCGAGCTGTCCAGGCCAAGCATATCCCTTGCTCTCGACAGAGTTTGAGAGTCTCGGGGTCTTCAACCCTAGGAAGCTTGGGATTAGGAGCCTTAGTAGAAGTAGCAGTTGATACCGGAGGGGCCTTGTTTGAATTAGCATTGCTGATGTAGAGCTTTGGATTGCAGCGGATATGGCTACGTAGGGCTTGCGTAAGCTGTTGGACATCATCGATGGCCGCGTAGTTCTCGTCTGCAGTCTTCCTCAGAGTGGGATGGAGGCCTTCACGATAGTGTAGGTTGACTTGACTGGGTTGTAGATGGAGGCCAACACTCGCACACATAGCAACAGCAGATTCGATACGGTCGAGGTAATCGTAAATGTTGATGTCACCATTGTCCATCTTGACGTCAGAGAAGTATCTCATGACTTCCGCATGTGAATTCGACAGACAGTACTTATGTTGAAGGTAGCCAAGTGCTTGTGATAGTGTCAGAACATAGTCGTTCAAGTAGAGAGTGGGGTCCATAGTAGTTTCCAAGTGGATCTGTAAGTTCCTCTTGACCGACTGGCTAAGACAATTGGATAGGTAGATGTACGATAATCGAGGGCCCAGCGCTGTTTGTTTTGCTTCGCAGCGGATAAGACTCAGGAAGTAGTTGATACTCCTGTTATCAGAGTTTCCCTTGTACTGTTTGTTGTCGGGGCACTTGATATGGGAAACAGCATTGATGGCCTTCGTTGTATCAAGCGCCTTCTCCTTATCATAGTTGTGGGATAGATCACACCAATACGCCACGTTGGTGATGTCGTTGTTACAAGGGTGTTGTTGACCTTGCATGAGAGGGGCCTGGGGCACTCCTTGAGGGTAGACCTGCACAGTGGCAGCAGAAGTTGTAACCTGCTGTGGATGTACTGTGTTTGCTGACCTTCGAGAGAGGCTTGCAGCTTGAGAGTTACGGCCTTCGGCGTCTATATAGGTGAAGAAGGTACGTCGTAGATAGACCTTCTTACTAAGAGGTTGGCCTTCCATGGCAGTCTCTAACTCAGCGGCAGATAACCATAGTAGTAGTGAGGGTTCAGCAATACCGAGGACTTCAAGGAGCTCAGCCAGCGGGTTCTCCACCATGTTAGTAGTAACACCCGCACTGGTTGACTCAACAACACTTGGGATAGCCATAATAGGTAATAAGGCTTCTTATCTTATCTATTTCAGCCTGAGGGCTGCGAGCCGTTTCATGCAACGAATAATGGGCGAGCGAGATTCGTGCATACGCGCGCGAACAAGCACACTCCATCTGAACGGAATTGACGATGGATTCAGTTCCTTTCGGCTGAGTGCCTTTCGTACCACACAGGCAGCGTTTAAATCTTGAAAACTTGAATCTTTCAAGCGGAACGTACTCGCGTATATTCGCCGACAACTGTGTTTGAAGTTTGCTAAGTAGGCATGGAGGTAGGGATTCCCGCGAGATGGACCATCTTAGATGTTAGCATACGAAGGATCCGAATGAGCCGATACCTGGTGGATTTCAATGGCGGAGAACGATGAGAAAATGCGAAGACGATCCAACGTTCTCCCAAAACCTCGTCATTTGGGACAACTAAGATGCTACAGCGTTCTCTCAAATCAGAAGGTTTCAGCTCGATTGGCTTCCTCCTACTAAACAGTAGGTATATTCGTACGCAGTACGGTGGCGCGGACCGCAGTGCTAGCTTGGTAGACGGTAGCGCAAGGTTGACTACACGAGACCAATCGGACGAAAAAGTTGTAGTTTGGGGGGAATCGGGGTCTCCGACATACTCCAGTCTCTAAGGTAGTGGCGCATCGATGAGTCGATCCTAGCAGGATATGCAAAGACTTATGAGCTTGAGTCATCGCTTATCCTGCTAGGCTTCTCAGTGTCGCTAAGGTGACTAGAATAGACGCTTAAGCTTGGGGATCCCTCCAGTCAATAGAGGGAACTCCAAGCTTTAGCGTCGCTACTTGGCATGGGGTTCGTGGCTCCCGTAGTCGCTGTGCGTGTTTTTATGAAGCTGATTTTTCCCAGGAGTAACTGCTAGTTCTGCTTCGTCTTCCCCAGTGGGTGTATTGGGCTCTCCAACTCTGCATGCAACTTGATGTAGTGTTATGGATCGTTGAGAGTTTCATCTCTCATCAACCTCATAAGCTCCGCTGTAGTGTGTTTGCTCATCGACGTGCTGTTGAAGTTGTGTTGCTATAAGTATTGCCTTCTCGCTCATAAGTTCTGTACAATCCGCCTACTCGTAGTAAGGTATCCGTTCTCTCATGGTGGGTCAGTCAATGGCAGTGGTTGCCACCTGCAACCTGGACCAGTGGGCCCTCGATTTCGACGGCAACGAGAAAAGAGTCATCGAGAGCATTCGTATTGCTCACAACAAAAACGCAAAGTTCCGGTGAGTTCTCACTCTACGAATCGTCGTTCACACGGTCTCCGTTTTCTCCCCGGCATCATCCATTTGAAATCATAATTTTCAGTACCGGTCCGGAATTGGAGCTCTCCGGTTACGGATGTGAGGATCACTTCCTCGAGACGGACACATTCCAGCACTGTTGGGAATCCCTTGCACACATCATAGTAATAGATAGGGTATCTGCCTCGTAGTGTTATGGTTGGTGTGTCTTAGACAGCTACCTCTGATCTGGACATGCTGATGGACATAGGGATGCCGGCTCTGTAATACAAGATGTAGTGAAGGTGTGGTAGCGTTTACCATCATCATTAGATTCAAGTCGACTGGTTACAACTGTAGAGTTTTCCTCTATCGGGGACGCATACTACTCGTGCGGCCCAAGATGCTCCTAGCTGATGATGGCAACTACCGTGAGTCAAGGTACTGAGGACAGTATAGTCGATGATGGTCACTTTTAATCGGCTTAGGTGGTTCGCGCCGTGGCCTATGGAGCGCGGTCTGGAGGAGATGCTTGTCCCCGACGTGGTCCAAGAGGCCCTGCCGGCCGGTAAGTCATACATTGCGGACGACGTGAGAATTTCGGGTCTCAGATGTCCGTCAGCAGACATGCCCCTTCGGGTTTGGAGTTGTACAACTAGCAGATTGTGCTGTGGGTTGCGAGGCTTGTGAGGAGCTATGGGCTCCTGAGAATCCTCATACGAGTAACGAGTAGGGTTAATTTGAAGAATCATCGTGCTGCTCTCAGTTATGGCTCTTGATGGCGTGGACATTATTGCCAATGGTAGTGGATCTCATCACGAGTTGAGGAAACTGAAAAAGCGTCTGAAGTTGATCGCCGGTGAGGCTGCTGTTGTCGGCTTGAATTTGATGTTCTCCTATGTAGGTGCTACGTCCAAGTCTGGCGGAGTATATCTATATGCCAACTCCATGGGCTGTGATGGTGGACGACTGTAAGACTCACTAGGTCCGTCCGCGGGAATTGGAGCTATGCCGGGTCTATCGTATAGGTATTTCGACGGTTCGTCATTGATCGCCGTGAATGGCGAAGTTCGTGCGCAAGGGTCTCAGTTCGCCATCAAAGAGGTTGAGGTCATCACTGCTAATGTTGATCTTGATGAGGTGATAATTCATACTTCACTCTCTGTCCATCATATGCCGCTGTCAGGTTCGCTCTTATCGTGCTAGCAAGAAGTCACGATGCACTCAAGCAGCAGCGTTGACGGGTTCAAGAGTGCCTCGAGTCGACTGTAGAGGCTTCCGTCTTTGCGATCCGGCAAATAGGTACTGTACGGTATCGTTTCACTATGTATGACGTTGTATTGTAGGTTCATATCGGCGAATCTTCCTGTGAAACCGATCGTCTGTGATCCTATGGAAGAGATTGCTCGAGGTCAATTGTCCACTAGGCTGTGGTTTGAGGGCTATTTCGTGGCTACTTAGGTCCCGCGTGCTGGCTTTGGGATTACCTACGTCGTAGTGGGGCTTCGGGGTTCTTCATTCCTCTTTCGGGTGGAGCTGACAGCGCTAGTGTAAGCGGTTATGTGGTGTTCTCTCGTGTGGTAGGGTGTTTCCTAGGTCCTGGCGATATGCGGTTCTATGTGCCAGCTGGTCATGGACAGGCTCATCGAGGGGGATAAGCAAGTTGAGGCGGACGTGAAGCGAATTACTGCATCTGAGGTATCAACCTATCAGCCGGTCTGAGTATTGCCCTCAAGACGCTTGTCATGAACGTCTCTTGATTCACTATTTTCAGGTTCTCCCCAAGACCTCTCAAGAGCTCGCCAACTGCATTATTCATACCGCATATTTGGCATCGAAAAACTCAGGGGAAGCTACTCGTAACTTAGCCGAGAGGATCGCCCAGCAGGTACTGAGGAGAGCGACTGCTGGTAGCGGAGGTTATTCACGCAATCGTCTATAGGTTGGTAGCTATCACAAATTTGTGATGATCGACAAAATTTGCGATGCTGTTGAGGAGGCCTTCACGGACTATGTCATCACTAATGAAGATGGAAAAGTCGATGAGGAGCTGAAACCGAGATATCTGTCTCAGGGAGGTGAGGACTGACGTCGACCTGTGAGAAGGCAGCGATGAGGACGATCAGGCACTCGTACGACGGACCTGGCACTGCAGAACATCCAAGCTCGAAGTCGGATGGTGATGTCGTTCATGCTGGCGCAGCTACTCCCTCATGCTAGGAGGCGAGGAGGCTATTTACTCGTCCTCTCGACTGGTAGGGTATACTCTCAGCAATGGTCATTGCATCCTATTTCAGGTAATGTCGATGAGGCACTTCGTGGTTATTTGACGAAGTACGACTGCTCCTCGGGTGATATTAATCCCATAGGCAGCATTTCTAAGGGAGATCTCAAGTCATTCCTGGTCTGGGCATCAACCAATTTGGGATACCCAGCGCTCGCCGAGATCGTAAGTTGACTCGTAAGATGACGTTCATCCTCTTCACTGAAGGTCCAAGCACCTCCAACGGCAGAGCTGCGACCAACAGTCGAGGGAGAACCGGCACAACTCGACGAAGTCGATATGGGCATGACCTACAATGTGAGTTTTGGAGGGGTCCGACGGCGCATCATGTATCGCTCAGGAGCTTGGTTGGTTCGGCCGGCTTCGGAAGATGGAGCGCTGCGGTCCGGTGCAAATGTTCCACAAACTTCGGATTATGTGGGGTGAAAGCCGTAATGAGAGTGCAGATGAAGTCGCAAACAAGGTGAAACACTTCTTCAACTGTTACTGCAGGAATAGGCATAAGTGTAAGTGCCAATATATGTAAGGCATGCACAGTGTTGTTGCGATGTAGGCACTGTATTGACTCCCTCGTATCACGCTGAAGCATACTCTCCGGATGATAATAGATTCGATTTGAGGCCGTTCTTGTATCCTCCGATGACGCGCCAGTTCAGGGATATCGACACTGAGCTTGCGCAGCGTAGACCCAGTGAGGTCCATAAATGATGAGCTCCATTTACTTGAATTGCTTTCCGCGGACTTGTTTAGCAGTGCATAATGCGGTTTCGAATGTTGAACCAAGGTTGTATTGAGACTTCATGAGTGGGATTACGTCAATCTTCAAATGATGTTATTCTGCTGCCGACGACGTATCGCTTTACAAAGCGTATTTCACGAATCGGAGCCGAAACGAGTCAAGAAATCTGCCGAAAAACAATGCCGCATCCTCATATCTCCTAGAGCAGCACAGTTTCGGAGTTCAGTCCATAGGCGCCACTGTAGCGCACCTGATTTCAGATCAGAAGGTTGTTCGCTCGAATCGGAATGGAGTCGTATCACGGATTTGTGGTCTTTCGGGAGTACACAGAGATGTATCTCGATAGTTCGTGTACACATTTTGTAGTTCGGCCCTGTGGCGCAACGGTAGCGCATCTGACTCCAGATCAGAAGGTTGTCCGTTCGAATCGGGCCGGGGTCATATCATGGGTTAGCGGGTCTTCAGCAGTACACGAGGATGTCTCTCCATAGTTCCTGTAGGAACCATATACACTTCATAATTCGGCCCTGTGGCGCAACGGTAGCGCATCTGACTCCAGATCAGAAGGTTGTCCGTTCGAATCGGGCCGGGGTCATATCCTGGGTTAACGGGTCTTCAGCAGTACACGAGGATGTATCTCCATAGTTCCTATAGGAACCATATACGCTCCATAATTCGGTCCTGTGGCGTAACGGTAGCGCAGATCAGAACGGCCCGGGGTCATACAGTGCTGTCGATCTAAACTTGTCCGCAACTAATGATAGCGAAACAAGAATGAAGTTTTCAAGAAACAATACCTAATCGATCCCGCTCGGGGGTAAACATGAAACCTAGGACTCGGCGAGTACGCAAGAGCCCGTAACAATGAGATCGTCTGGCTGAATCTTGGCCCGTTCATCGACAATACCGCAGTCACGCAGGGTATCTTGAGCCAATAATAGGGCCTGCAACGATCGAAAAGTACAAGTCGTACTGTACAACTAGAGTGACAGCAGAGCGGCTCACAGATTTGTCGACTTCAGTATTGCATTGCCATTTGACGTCTTTCATCCAGCTTGCAGTGTCATCCGATGACATGTTGTATCTAGCTGGAACTTCCCCAGAACTGCAAGAGGCAGCACATACAATTCGGAGATGAAGTCGCGCGTTTCATCTCGATCTCCTAGCATCCGCTCGATTTCTTCATGAACAGCATGTACGACTGTTTTGACTGCCTCTAAACGATCAGACGAGATATCCTCGCTCACCTAGTAAGAAAAACTCGTGCTCTGATTCGACGCAGCAGCTCACAAGTGCTTACCACGAAGACAAAAGCAGGCCAAGGAGCTGGGACTCTCCTCACTAACTTCCATTCACCCTTGTCGACTAGGTGCCTGGCAGGTTAATTTATGAACAGATCAGACCAGGATGGACTCTACTTCGTTGTGAAGACCTCCCACATGAAGTAATCGATATCCCCTTTGGCCATCGACTCAACAGCTCCATCGAGGGAGTTCACAACCTAGTTCGGACTAATTCCTGCATTCAACTATGTTTCTCCGCTCCGACCTTGAAGGCAAGGTCTCCATCAACTTTGTCTTTGTCGACTTTTGCCATGATGTGCGAGCCACTGCCAAAACGGGATATCCCAAAAACATTGCTCTGGGAGTCAGTTGGACGTTTTGATGACGTATGAACTCCCCAGACCAGAGGAGACGCAACGTATGTACCTGAGGCCAGCACCGTCGCCGGCCTGGACTAACCTCGCTACCTTCTGATCTTACCGAGAATCCTGACCTGGTCTCTGGCGTCTTTGCCTGAGTTCTTAATGATGTGGGCGACAGCTGACTCAGTGAGCACGCATGCGCAGTCCACCTCCTTGGAGATTACAGCCTTCAGCATCGCTCCGCTGCCACCAGGATATGTTCTCCAAGCCAACTAAGGCAACATAGCTAGCGAGATGGCTCATACAGTGTCAGTCGGATCCCACCTGAGGGGCACAGGCAGATGAATCAAGTTTAGCTTGGCGCTGCAGTAGGCGTTGGAACGGTGCGTTAAAATGCTCTGGGACTCCACCAAAGCGAACAACGTTATCCTGGGACTAAAGAAGCAAGGGATAGTTGTGATAAAGGAGCGGCCTCCTACCGTCATAGAAATCTTGAGTCGAAAAAAACTAAACCAAACGAGTAATACAACCGACAACGAGGTTTCAGGATATGTCGATTGATAGGCGGAAGCCATTAACGCAACTCTAAGCCCTTTACGCGGAAACTGCTTTGACATGATAACGTACTCTAGAAAATCCATCGCGCCATGTTCCTGAGGAAACACAGAGGGGTTGCACATAGCCCAGAACCGGAACTGTTGTCACCTCACAGAATGGCCGCACTCGTAGGTTACAGGACCCTTCACTTTGTTGCCCAGAGGCTTGTTGTTACTGATCGCTATAAAGGCGTTCTACATCAACAGTGCTTTCCGCGGAGGAAATAACA